AAATTTTACCCTTTAATAAAATTTTTAAAAGTGAGGGGGTTTTTTGAAGGGTTTTTTTTTACCAAAGAAAACTACAAAAAAAACCCCTAAATTGGTTTTTACGGGACTTATCCGCCTTTCATTTTCATATGAGGGTTTGCACCTGCCCTCTCATTTTTGGACAGGAAGGCTTTTGTCCGTGAGGGATTTTGTCCGTGAGAGCTTTTGTCCTATCCGGGTGGGCTTTTGTCCTACACGTGATTCTTATAGGTGCTTTTTTAAACATACTGACATTTGAATGTTTTAACAATCTCGGGTATAAAATTCTTAATATATTTTTTAATTTTCGGAATTTGGAAGTGAACTTTAATTGATATATCCAAATGCTATCAGAAAATCGTTCAGAGTTCAGAATTAATTAGTTTCGTAATTCAGAGGTATTACTCACATAGAAAAAAGGAAAACAAACATTGGGACCCTGAAAAATTTTGGATTTCAAAAGTTTTCGGACTTTGGAAGTTACACTGTAGTTATCAGGTTATATGTACTTTGGAAAAGGGGGTCTTTCGGGAGCAACACTAGTTATATGAGATAGTTAAACCCTGCAGACACGGTTTTGTTGAGTCTGCTTATGAGAGATAATGAAAAGTTGAACACGCGCGCTTGCAATGTAGAATAAGTCAAAAACTTATGTGTATCTAATTTGTTTTAAATTGGTTTATATTGGGTATGGTATGCTATTTTTTCATGGAAACATATTTATGTCATATATTATAAATTGAATATTCCATGTGACACAGATGGCGCTGTATATGGTTACTGTGACGCGCACATCCCGTGCGATACAACAAAAACTCCTTATTTGGCATGTGATCCCGTCACCAGCACGTGCATCAATTGTCGTCAGACACGGCAACATCGAATCATCAATGGATTTTGTATGAAAGGTAATTTTAGCGGTGTGAACAACCCTTTGAATCTTATTTCTTAGTGAATTACATTCCATATTCGCTAGAAACAAACAAATATCCTCTATTTATCACAATTTTCATTATTTTTAATACTTCCTTTTGCATTGAAACAATATTCCATTGTTTTCTATTTTGCTTTACAAATGTATGAATATCCGTATAGTGAATTGAAATTTAAAAAAGTCCTGAAATTAGTCCCTTGCAAAATAGTTTGTTTATAAAAAACTCTTTTTATTACACAATACGTTTCTGTGAAGAAAAACGTTTATATTTTAAGCCTTTCTCTGCTCCAACTAACAGCGATCTGGCAAAGCCCTTTGCTGTTGGGAACTCATTTTATTTAAGTGTGGAATCCTTTCAGCTCCTAATTTACCAAATTCAAAGTAAAGTAAAACTGTTCTACAAATTCAGCAGGAATATTATTAAACTCGTACATTTATGTTAATAAGGTGTTGTTCTGTTCTGTTCTGTTCTATGTAACTTAAAAATCTTTTTATTTAGATGGAGCAATTGGTGGATTTTGTAGTCAAGAAATATCCTGCACGAAATCTGGGAGTAGTTGTGACGCAGAATTTAACACGTGCATATCGTGCACTATGGCTGGCTACCGTAGTGTGAATGGATACTGCCTACAAGGTCTTGTTTGAATAGTTTCAATATTTTGTAATAGAATTATTAAGTATATATTTTTATTGAATGTACAGCAAATAAACTGTATACTAGTAAATCCTTTAGAACTTAGGTGAATACTTTTCTTAAACAAGGGATAGAGCTATATAATTTTCTTAAGATTTTTATTCGCATTCTTGAGTAAAATATTTTAATCACTTTGTTGCAATTGATGAAATTCTTATTGAATATGTCTTATTTGAATCAAAGAATGAATAAAGTATGGGAAGCTGCTCTCCCGATTTCAGTTCAAATAAAATTGCTCTTTTCTTTAAAAAAACTGTCATTATTTTTAATGACACTATATATTCATATTGTGACCACCTATAGTGTGTAGAATTTTAAACATAACATATCTTCTTTGTGTTAAGTCAAAACATATTTATATTTACAATGAGGTTGTGAAGCAATTATCAATATTTTCTAACATCAAATTGAAGATCAGAGTTGCGCCACTGTTTTAGTGACAATTTTAGAAATTTAACTTATTTCTTATTAAAATGATGGAATATTTATTATGCAGACGGTGTATTTGGCGGATATTGTGATACCGTAGTCAACTGTACCGACGGAACAGGTTGTGGGCCCGAATCTCATGTCTGTGTAAATTGTTCGTCTAACGGTTATCGGGTTTTACCTGATGGGTTTTGTAGGCAAGGTGAGCCCAATCTTTTAACCTTTAACCTAACTGGGATATTTGGAATGGACTTGCCCACTTTGAATTTGGAACAGACCATTCAAAATTTAAAGGATTTCAATAGCAAAATATATATAATTATGCTATCAACTGTATAGTGAATACATTAGATTGCTGGCCGATTTGACTTTATCGTGGTCACAAAGGCTATTCATTTTCAGTTCCTACAATATAGTGTATAGTATTCTTTAAAAGATGCACTGTTCTATGTTGTATTGACTTTATATATATACAATTTGCATGTAATTGTCCATTCCAAGTCATAACACAATGGTTTCCCTAGACAATTATTTAAGTGTCAGTTATTGCTAAAAGACCAGTCCGGAACAAAATACTTGTTTGAAATACGAAAACCTTTCTTCTTTTAAAAGTAAATATGCTTGTTTCGTCATCGGTATCCCGCCATGCATTACATCAATGATCTTTGACTGAGGCGGAGTCCAAGATATTATAATTGAGCCGTGTCATGACAAAACCAACATAGTGTGTTTGCGACCAGCATGGATCCAGACCAGCCTGCGCATCCGCGCAGTCTGATTAGGATCCATGCTGTTCGCTATCAGTTTCTCTACTTGTAATAGGGTTGGTAAACGAACAGCATGGATCCTGATCAGACTGCGCGGATGCGCAGGCTGGTCTGGATCCATGCTGGTCGCAAAACCATTATGTTGGTTTTGTCGTGACACGGCTCATATATAGGAGATGCATAATAGATTTTTGTTTTTCACATTTATTAAGGTATTATCAATGTATTATATATATTCTGTCCTGTCTTTGTGTGTTATATATCATAACTTGTATAATTACTTTTTTTATTTTTAACCACAATTTTGCAAGATGGATTGATTGGCGGGTATTGTGACGCAAATATTTCATGTTTGACATTTTCTGGCGCATGTGATCCGGCAACCAGTCTATGTAGCACGTGCTATGCTGGACATAGTATCATTAACGGATATTGTTACAAAGGTAAGTTAAATCTTCTTTAGCAATTTTGTTAGAACTATTTACATATACCAGTATTATGAAATATTTAAAGCTACATGCCTCCAGATGGGTCAAAATTGTTCAATAAAATCAAACTTAGGAAAAATTCACTTAAATTATAGGTAAGTAAAAAGATTCAAGATCAAGTAATATTTTACATGTTCTGTGCGATTAATGACTGAATTTTTAGTGTTTACAATTATATTTCTACTGCGTTACTAACGCAGTAAGGGGTATTTATGCATATTTTGACCACTTTTTTTAGTAATTTACGGGGGTTGTAAATGCGATTGAAAATGTAAAATAGCTTTCTTTTGGTTACTTCACAATATTAAACATTCAGATACATTTTCAAAATTTTCATGAAAATTAGAATGAGCCTGGAGGCGTGCTGCTTTAATAAACTACATTATTTATTGAATTATATATTATCACAATAGGTATTCACTTTTCATTCACTTAGTGTGTGTTTGAGCCCTGTGTGGGGCAATGTTTTCTGTTCCAGTTTTGTTTATGGCCACCTGTCCATAGTCAACAATTACCCAACACTGCCATAGTGTACTGGGGCGTCCGTGGTCGAGTTGTTAAGGTCGTTGACATCAAACCACTTGCCCCTCACCTCTGTGGGTTCGAATTCCGACAGGGACTTTGGATTCTCTCATATGAGGAAGCTATCCAGCTAGCTTATGGAACGTCGGTGGTTCTACTCAGGTACACGTTCGTGCCTGAAATAATGCATGGAAGGGCACCTGAGGTCTTCCTCCACCAGTAGAGCTGGAACGTCGCGATATGACCTCTACTGTGTCGATGTGACGTAAAAACCCCAAAACAAACAAAACTGTCATATTGTACTGGCAATAAACTTTAGTAAATATCTTGCTTAAAATCCTATAAAACCTACAATAATAAAACACAACATAATAATCAAATTTGATTTGAATCACTTCTCTTTGAATGAACAGTTTAAATGACTTCCCATGGATTGGAATAAATGTGTTTATTGACCAAAAGATATACTTTACTTCTTTCAGATGAATTGATCAAAGCGGACATAGACTGGGACATTGAATCCATCGTAGGGACGTCCGTTGCCGGTTTTATTATAGGCGTTTGTATAAACGGCGTTATATTTGTTCACACTTTACAGAAAGCACTTGTAACTAAGGCAGAATTCGCTCCAAAAGAAACATAAATGATACACACAATGTTTACATTATACAATGTTCCCTTTTCGTCGTTTGTGTTTAATTATTTTACAAAACATGTGTAGAATATAAATAATATTTGAGAAGTTTATCAATTAAGCCTACTGCGCATTCCTACGTGATACACACATTAACTTTTGGTCTACTTTATAACTGAGCTGTAATCTTCTTTGAAATGTCAACAATTTACATAATTTTAACATGCTTGATACGTCTACTTTAACGATCATGTTACGCTGTCATCATGTTACACATACAACACGTTACACAGAACAGACAACATGTTACACAGAACAGAGAACACATTGCACAGACAACATTTTACTCAACACAGACAACATAATTCACATACGGCATTTTACACAGACCAGACAACATGTTACACAGAACAGACAGCACGTTACACAGAACAGACAACATGATAAACAGAACAGAGAACACATTGCACAGACAACATTTTACTCAAAACAGACAACATAATTCACAGACGGCATTTTACACAGCACAGACAACATAATTCACATACGGCATTTTACACAGCACAGACAACATAATTCACCTACGGCATTTTACACAGCACAGACAACATAATTCACATACGGCATATTACACAGCACAGGCAACATCATACACAGATAATATTTTACAAAGAACAGACAGCATGTTTCACAGAACAGACAACATGCAACACGGTACACAGAATAGACAATATGTTACACAGTCATTTTGTTACACAGCCAAATTTTACACACAATATGTTACACAGAAAACTTCTTACATAGACATTATGTTACACAGACAACATGTTACTCAGACACCATGTTTCACAGACATCATGTTACACAGACAACATGTTACACAGTCAAATGCCATCACTCTGTTCTTCTTCTTGAATATATTGCAGTTACAATATAATCGCACAAAGTTGGAACACCAAAAACGAACACATTACTTGACAGCAATGGTATTTCTCTTTCATTCTTTTTACATGAATACATGAAAAAATTTACATAAATATTGTTTTGCCGGTTGTTTTTTTCATATAGTCTTAAGTATGTGGTAAATGTTTTCTCTGAGATATTAAACTTTTATTATTGTCATCTGGATATCTTTTTTCATTCCTCCCCCCTCCCCCCCCCCCCGTACATGCATCGCCCCAACGCTATCACTCCACTTCCTAATTGAAATGTTTAACCGGTTGTTGATTTAATACATATGTCGATAATTTAGTTCACTTTCCATGTGTAGTTCTTTACAAAGATTGACCATAATATACCAGTACCAAAGGTTGTTTTAAAAATATCATTCTGATACTAGACAATTACTTTTGTATTAAAAACAGTTGTCACGTCGATGTGTCGTCATAAATTTATGTGCCTTGTAAAGACTTATGATATTTGAGGATAACATTTCAACCTTACTTCCATTTCTTAACCCTTTATATATCGTCCATAAGGAAACCTTTAACAATTTCATTTCTTATTTAAAGTATGACACCCATAATAGACACTATAAGAAACTGAGATATTGACAACATAATTATGTCAGTTTTAGAGTTACATTCTTAGCTGATACTCACACATTGCTTTTAATTAATTCAAGAGATATCAATTTTAATATCGATTTTTTTTTTATTAAATTTTGTGATCGATTTTTCAGGACTCTGCAAGGTTTTTTGAGGACCTTTTCTCAAAAATGAGATAATGTTTATCATTTATTTAATCGTGAAAACATTTATGAATGAATTAATTTTACCATATTTTCATTATGTCTATATGATAATCATTTGTAATATTTGGTTTATGATTGTTTCATGATTGTTTAATGATAGATTTATGCGCTTCTTAAAAATCTGGTTAAATTTAGTATCAAATATTCATATAATATGTGTGCAGAGAAATTAATGTTAACCAAGTGGTGGCAAAAAAAACGATTAAATTTGTAAGTTTCTTTAAATAGCCAACGTTTTTAATGTACATGAATAATATCTTATCTTTAACCATTTACAAACAAAATTGTGGCATAGTTTAATAAACTCTTCACCAGTCTTATTAATCATAAACTTCTTTAAAAACTGTGTTACAATGTTGAATGTTCTATTAGTAATATTCGGGATAGTTTGTAAAGGTTTCGACGCATTTCTTCTTGACGAACCCTGTAACAGAACTATGTAAGTATATTTTTGTCTTGAGAAAATATTTGAGCCGCGTCATGACAAAACCAACATAGTGCGTTTGCGACCAGCATGGATCCAGACCAGCCTGCGCATCCGCGCAGTCTGATCAGGATCCATGCTGTTCGCTATTAGTTTCTCTACTTGTAATGGGTTGGTAAGTGAACAGCATGGATCCTGATCAGACTGCGCGGATGCGCAAGGCTGGTCTGGATCCATGCTGGTCGCAAACACACTATGTTGGTTTTGTCATGACGTGGCTCATTTGTAATTCAACAAATTAAGTTCACCCCAGAAAAAATGAGCCAATCATGAGCATGCTTTAGAGTGCGGGTTACTAATACTTGCACTCCAGTTAACGCACTGTGCATGCTCACAGACAATGATCAGTACATGTGCTGGGATTGACAAATATGCATTTTATTTGGATTTTAAAGGCATTTTGAGCTCCACACCCCAAGTGTCTGCGTGCATGCTTGTGTATACGCATTTTCAACAGAAATTATATTCTACTGAAGCAAACGACATCGTTATTGTTGTTATAGGCGGTGTCTATGTAAACAATCAGTGATTCAAATGAATTTACATTGAATGTTCGTCTTTGTTCCAGGACTACACCTGAAATTGACTTTATAATCGGTAAAGACTGTCAACATGGTTTGATATCATTTCAACCTTCCGCATCGGGGTCACTGGCAGCGCACGTCATTAACAGCAAACCAAACACGTGCAACGTGACTACGTGCCTCAGATCGTGCAATACAGTGTCTAGTTCAATATTCGCTCTAACTCAGGACCCCTTCCATTGTTGTCATGTTTTTCCCCGGCCAACAATAGCCATGAGAGATTTCACGGATATGAAGAACGAAACTTTGTATAAAACAAGTTCTTTTGGTAATTTAAATTATACATTCTTTTTTTTTTGTACAAATGAAATCCTTTTATAAGAATGCACGTTTGTAACGTCGCATTTGATTGGATAATCGTGACGTTTATACATGTATTATTATAGTTAGAAAGATTTTTGACAGGTTATATGGCCCTATATAAACGGCTGTTTGAAAATATAACCCGAGCCATAAGGCGAGGGTTATATTTCAAACAACCGTTTATATACGGTCATATAACCTGACGTTATAAATATTCCTGACAGGTTATATTGCAGTATATAAACGGTTGTTTGTAATATAATCGTTCATATAAGGTCATATAACCTGTCAAAAAATCTTTAGAACTAATATATGATTGTGAAGAAAACTTCAGTTTCTTGATTTGTGTAGTGCAATGCAATAATTAGATTTGTGTGTAATGTAATGATTAGATTTGTGTGTAATGCAATGATTAGATTTGTGTGTAATGTAATGGTTAGATTTGTGTGTAATGTAATGATTAGATTTATGTGTAATGCAATGATTAGATTTGTGTGTAATGTAATGGTTAGATTTGTGTGTAATGTAATGATTAGATTTGTGTGTAATGCAATGATTAGATTTGTGTGTAATGTAATGGTTAGATTTGTGTGTAATGTAATGATTAGATTTGTGTGTAATGCAATGATTAGATTTGTGTGTAATGTAATGGTTAGATTTGTGTGTAATGCAATGATTAGATTTGTGTGTAATGTAATGATTAGATTTGTGTGTAATGCAACGATTAGATTTGTGTGAAATGCAATGATTAGATTTTTACCCGGTTATTTGTGGTATAATAATTGTGATGGTATATGTATTTGTTTTACATGAAATGATTGGATTTGTACCCGGCCTTAACATCAAAAGTTAATTGTGGTATATTAATTGTGTTGTTATATGCATTTGTTTTACAGGAAATGATTGGATTTGTACCCGGCCTCATTCTCAACAGCGAATTGTTCTCGATTTCAATGTTCGTACGTTACAGTGTCCTGTACTTGTAGAATATGATATTCTTACAACATGTTGATTTCTTCCTGAATAAAGGCTTACACAACGTAGAAAGAATCAATTTATTACGATTTTCTATAAATAGAACAGTCCCAACAAATGATACTCAAGCCAATAGTTGATTTTTATAAAGAAATAAAGCCAAGTATACGCATTTTCTTTAACAACAAAAACCTACAACTAATTATCAAAAACCTTAGGTGCACTTTCAACATTTCAGTTGTAAAAAGATTTTATGTTAAATTTTGAGTAACTCTCGAGCAAAGTTTTCGGTATAATTTTACCAAAATGGTCAAATACATTTACTTTTAAGGCAATATATTTATATGTAAAAATGGTCATCATTATATTGCTGCTTTTTTCTTCCCTTTCAAATTCTGTGGACAAATACAACGTGTGTTGCTCATATACGTCAACAACAAAAAAGCAAAACTTCACTTTCCTTCAAAAATTTCAATAAGTATGCATCTCTATTTAACCATTTAAGTTTTATTCGCAAACCCTCCTCTGAAGCTCTTTTAAGTCAAAGAACATCCCTGTGTAATCGTTAAAGTGTTTATGCTTATATTATTTTTATTTATTTATTTATTTATTTATTTATTTATTTATTATGGCATAACTAGCTAGCTTACCGAACGTCGGTGGTTCTACTCATGTGCCCGCTTGTGCCTGAAATAATGCACGCACGGAAGGACTTAGGTCTTCCTACTTCAGTAAAGCTAGAAAGACGCCATATCACGAGGGAGGAAGTGTTACACGAAGGATGGAGTTCTTATGATAACTTGTCAGGGAGTTCTTATGATAACTGTCACGGAGTTCGTCGGAAAACTATTGTATATACTGCAAAAAACACTCGTCAAAAATGGTAATTTTCATCTTATTGTAGTTTTTGACACATAATACAATATGTTAGGCAAGCTTTATCATAGCACCTATTGCAGTATATACAATAGTTTTCCGACAAACTCCGTGACAGTTATCACAAGAACTCCTTGACAAGTTATCATAAGAACTCCATCCCTCGTGTAACACTTTCTTCCCCGTGATATGACCTTTACAGTTTGGTGCGACTAAAACCCAACAGCAAGAACAAGCAATTTTATTTCATGTTCGACTATAGTAACGTAATTAAGGGGTTTCTGATAAAGTCTTGACCCAAATAATAATAAAAGAAAAGATAATAAGATTTGAGATTTCACAATTATTTTATTAATTGTAATACTGGTGTGGTAAATAAAACATGTTTTCATAAAAGAAAACAAATATAGTGATGCGATATAAAATGTACATGTAAATGTATATTGGGGTATATCCAATAAATATTCTATAACTTTATATCAGTAATGACATAACTTAAGATTTATATTTTTGTATCCACGTCCCATTTTGTTTCCACCCCTCCCCCCGCCTTAATATCAGAAAAGCAAACAGCACTTTGGAGATGGTTAAACTGGTATTATGAATAACTCAACACTAATCAAATTACACAATCATTCAAACAAACCAAATACACAAAGTAAAACATCCAGCTACCAAGAAATATTCTATATCGGACCATTACCATGTATATGTGTCTAGAACAAGACGAAATTTAAGTTATTTGAAATAATCAGCTAGCTTCTTTAACATTTTGGCCCCTTCTCTGCTAAACTCGATTTTTAGCATACAATTATGTACCAGACTTGTGAAAGTACCCTAGCCTCTCATCAGGGTACAAATGTAATAAGCTTTTAGGGGGGAAGTCACAGTTGTTGTTGTTGTTGTTGTTGTCTTTGTTGTTGTCTTAATTGTGAAAAGAAAATGGATAAAATTCGAAAATTACCCAGACGACATTTTTATCAGACGACAATTTTAACAGCAGAAAATGGTGACAAATGACATTTAACCACACGTAGTTGGCTAGTATGCAAACCCCCTATTAAAGTCGAAGCTCTTTTTCGTGCAAATAAAAATTCAAACAAAAGCTTGTAAAAGCGTATAATAATCATATTACCACAACCCCTTATGACTGTGACGTCTGCATATTTATGCTGATTAGTTTTGTTTGATTATACACCATCGAAAACGTCTTGTTTCAAAGGTCCTCGGTTTAAAAAAAACAAAATGTTTCTGTATATCAAAATATAACAAAACTTCAAAACCATTTAAGAAGAAAATAAGATTTTAAAAAAAGTAACATGAACCTAAATAATCACTTCAAAATGAAACCTAAATGATTAAATCTAATAGTTGATACATAAACTACTTTTTGTAAGCACTTTTTATTCCTCCGTTGTCCGTCCACATGTGCGCCTGGTAGTCGCTAAATAGTGCTAGATTTTTCCATGAATATGTCCTAGGATCTATATAACTGTCACTTTTATACCATTTGCCCCTCTTTGCGCTGCTAGATTTTGTTTCCCGCTGCATCCTCTGTACTATATCCGGTATCTTACTGACCGGAAGTTTCTGCTGGGAACCAGGCATACCCCGGAATATGTTGTTGTACATGCTGGCTCCTGAAATAGTATACAAAGATCAAGTATAAAGTCTGAACTAGAAAACAGCGTTCAGAGTTCGCGGCACTCTCCAAAGATATCTCATGACTTTATACGTAAGTACCAATGATTATCAGTATACTTTCTCATATATTTCATTATTATATTATTTCATATACCAAGTAATGCATTATTTCATATACCAATTATTACATTATTTCATATACCAAATAGAACATAATTTCGTGTGCAAAATATTACATTATTTTGTGTACCAAATATCACATTATTGCATATACCAAATATAACATTATTTCATATACCAAATATTACACTATTTCATATACCAAATATCACATTATTTCATTACCTAGGTATTACACTATTTCATATACCAAATATCACACTATTTCATATACCAATTATTACACTATTTCATATGCCAAAAATTACATTATTTCATATACCAAATATAACATTATTTCATTAACTAGGTATTACACTATTTCATATACCAAATATCACATTATTATATTTACCAAATATCACATTATTTCATATACCAAATATTACATTATTTCATATTCCAAATATAACACTATTTCATATACCAAGTATTACATTATTTCGTGTGCAAAGTATTACATTATTTTGTGTACCACATATAACATTATTTCATATACCAAATATTACATTATTTCATGTACCAAAAATCACATTATTTCATGTACCAAATATCACAATATTTCATATACCAAATATTTCAATGTTTCATAAACCAAACATTATATACTATTGTGGAGTTTCAGCTTTAATAATGGACACATTACTCTGAGGGACAGACGATACTTTTTACCACTATATTGTATATACGTATAAATACCTGTCTGCCCAGTATTCGGTCGCGCGTCCATCATTCTTTGCTGCATGGTCGAGGCCGAGTTGCCTCCCACTCGCTGCACTGACGTTCCTATAGCGGCCACAGACATGTTTAAAGGTCAATTCTTCTGGAAATAAAATGATGAAATTTAAATTATGTACAAGTATAAGCTATATAAAAAAATATCTGTGAGATGGCCCAACTTCAATGTGACTGAAATTCAGATCTTCTTGTTTACATGTACTAAAGTTCAGATCTTCATATGTTTGCATGTACTAAAGTTCAGATCTGCATATGTTTACATGTACTAAAGTTCAGATCTTCATGTTTGCATGTACTTAAGTTCAGATCTTCATTTGTTTGCATGTACTAAAGTTCAGATCTGCATATGTTTACATGTACTAAAGTTCAGATCTTCATGTTTGCATGTACTTAAGTTCAGATCTTCATATGTTTGCATGTACTAAAGTTCAGATCTGCTTATGTTTACTTACATGTACTAAAGTTCAGATCTGCTTATGTTTACATGTACTAAAGTTCAGATCTTTTTATGTTTACATGTACTAAAGTTCAAATCTTTTTATGTTTACATATACCAAAGTTCAGATCTGCATATGTTTACATGTACTAAAGTTCAGATCTTTTTATGTTTACATGTACTTAAGTACAGATCTTTTTATGTTTACATGTACTAAAGTTCAGATCTTCATATGTTTGCATGTACTTAAGTTCAGATCTTCATATGTTTGCATGTACTAAAGTTCAGATCTGCTTATGTTTACATGTACTAAAGTTCAGATGTTATGTTTACATGTACTAAAGTTCAGATCTTTTTATGTTTACATGTACCAAAGTTCAGATCTTTTTATGTTTACATGTACCAAAGTTCAGATCTTTTTATGTTTATATGTACCAAAGTACAGATCTTTTTATGTTTACATGTACCAAAGTACATATCTTTTTATGTTTACATGTACCAAAGTACATATCTTTTTATGTTTACATGTACCAAAGTTCAGATCTGCTTATGTTTACATGTACTAAAGTTCAGATCTGCTTATGTTAACATGTACCGAAGTTCAGATTTTTTTATGTTTACATGTACCAAAGTTCAGATCTTTTTATGTTTACATGTACCAAAGTTCAGATCTTTTTATGTTGACATGTACTAAAGTTCAGATCTTTTTATGTTTACATGTACTAAAGTTCAGATCTTATGTTTGCATGTACCGAAGTTCAGATCTTTTTATGTTGACATGTACTAAAGTTCAGATCTTTTTATGTTTACATGTACTAAAGTTCAGATCTTATGTTTGCATGTACCGAAGTTCAGATTTTTTTATGTTGACATGTACTAAAGTACAGATCTTTTTATGTTTACATGTACTAAAGTTCAGATCTTTTTATGTTTGCATGTACTAAAGTTCAGATCTTATGTTTGCATGTACCAAAGTTCAGATCTTTTTATGTTTACATGTACTAAAGTTCAGATCTTTTTATGTTTACATGTACCAAAGTTCAGATCTTTTTATGTTGACATGTACTAAAGTACAGATCTTTTTATGTTTGCATGTACTTAAGTTCAGATCTTATGTTTGCATGTACTAAAGTTCAGATGTACTTGTGTTTACATGTACTAACATTCAGATCTTCTTATGTTTACATGTTATACAGTTAAGATTAACTTTCGTTTACATGTACTTAAGTCCAGATCTTCATATGTTAATATAATGTACACATAAACATAAGGAAGATCGGTCAAATTGGCCAAACTTTTGCTGTTTGTGTGTGTGTTTTTTGTTTTTTTTGGGGGGGGGGGGAGTCGGGGTCGGAGTGAAGTCGTTGTTGTTGTTGTTTTTTCTCCATTTGTTTTGTTTGTATTGACGGTATCTTTAATACATAATTTAAATCATAAATAATCTGTACAGGCTCACCAGACGTTTGTTTTCAATTTTAAGCATTGCCAATCATATATTTATATTAGTTCTGTTACAGTACAATATAAACAGATAGAGTAAAACAACCGCTAAAACTACATTATACTAGTTTAATGTTTTCTATTTTTCAAGATTTCTTTGTCTTTGAGAAAATTAAATGTTCATATGAATCGTGTCAGTGTACAAAACAATCAAGAAGACCTCTTCATAAACACATTTTCTGCATTAACCTTACGAAAGTTTTCTGGATATCATTTTTGTTCTAGGGTATATATACATTTTATATATGAATTATATTTATCTATATTCCACAATTCAACCTTCAACGTTTCGAGGGGTTAAGTCCCTCTTTAACCCCCCACCCCTTTCCCCCTTTAACAAGAAGTTTCTGTTTATTTAATTATTTTTCCTGAGGTATTACATGTATATCAATTGTTACTGCTAACGTACAAGAACGGAGTGCGGGTAGGGCAAAAATAGCTACATTTTGTTAAGAAATGTACTTTATTCAAACATATATAATACAGCCATATAACTTTATGAATTAGTTAATCTGTTAATCCATTATTAAGCCTGGGAAATCAAAACATACAGGAAAATTTAGGTCATTATTACACCATTTAATCCAGTGAGGAACTTACTTTGGATTAATCTTAAATTATGGAAACGATAATTCGTGATTTTAATTAAAAGGTCATCCGTCTGCTTGTAACCTCGCTGCTTTCAAAACAAAAATTAAAGCAGCACACCTGAAGCAGCAGACCTCGAGCTTCATGCTCATTTTCATTAAAATTTTGATGATGTGTAAAAAAGTAAATTATTTTTGAGTGACAAAAGAAAATAGTTTTCACATTGCAAACAGCACTTACAACCAATGTTATCTACCAAAATGAGGTCAAATACCTGGATATAGGGGCCACCCGTCTGTAACGTCAATTTTAGATTAGTTCCACTTTTTACCACTATATAGAATATACAGACAGGTTACACTGTATCTAGCTCTTTAGTTTACTTTTATAAAAAAAAGTTATTCACGAAACTTTTGACGAGGGCGTTATTTATAATTTATTTTGTCATTTTATTGAAAACTTCAGTTTTAAGAATTTCTTATATGTTTCTTTACTGTATGAACTCACAAAACATGTATTTTATTGTGGAATATAAATATAATGTACATAAATAAAAACATGGCTATGCTTTATCAGATAATAACTTTTTTTCATGTCTGTATTAAAGTGGACAATTTTCTAGAGATTTAAATATATACAAATGTATTTATGAAATATTTACGTTCTTTTTTTTTTCCTTTTTTTTTGCCCATGACACTTTTTTCTTTTATATTGACACCCTCTTTCAAGCTTTTGTACATACACGTGTACTTATCGCAATTTTTAT